ATGTTGAACGGCTTGCCGAGCAAATGGTGTCCACTTTCAGATTGTACCCTTTTGCGCAGCCAAATTTCAAGAATTCATTTCTTTGCCTTTTTAATATTTGTTTAAATTAAATAAACAATTTCTCTAAGATAAATTAATAATGATCATTCATTTACGTTGCATGCTTTTGAGAAATATGAATAAGAGTCAAACCGATATTAGAACACAATTATGTATAATAATAATGCGATAGAAATTATTTTCTTTACGTGTACTACTTGAAAATTTTCCTTACAAGAATCATAACATGCTCAACCGCCAAGATGAACATTTTTCTGTTGCACACCATGACAAGAACAAAATTCAAAAACCAAATAATTAAGTGTTTTTTGAGAGAAAAAAAAAACTAATTAAACAGTTTAATTTTTAAATTTCATTACGGCTTAATTGCACTTAAATATCCTATAATTATTCTGCTTTTCACTTATGTATCCTCGATTATTTTTTACAGTACTTATGCTTACTCTAAAGTTTTCAAATTTGCACTTTATTACGCTAACATATGCAAGCACGATAATCTTTTCTTAAAAAATCTCATGCGACACTCACATGCTAATTTTAGAACATTGTAACTCTTAATATTTGTTAAACATAATTTTAAAACTACCAAAATCCTAACTTAAACTAGAACTAGGATGTATTTAGAATGAAATTACGGTAGTTTTACTAATAAATTTAATAAATAATAATGATTTTAAAAAAAATTCTAAAATTAGCAACAAACGAGGGCATACAAGCGCAAAGTAGGAGAGGGGCTGTGGGGTATTTCAAGTGCAATTTAACTTTTCAGACAGCCCCAGGGACCATCATTATTCTTAGGGAAAAATGTGTCCAGGCCCCAAAAGTGGGAACTTCGTGTGACTAGCCCCCCTGTACTTCTACTTTGCCCCATGTGGAATAGCCCAAATACGCATACTATTGCGCGACGGGCCCCAATTGACTCTTTTCAAAAAGCCCAGCGGAAGATTACTATCTTGACCCTCTGATGTGGACTGGCCTGGCGTTAATGTGGCCCCTCACTTTACAGCTACTCTCCCTGCTCTTTTCTTCTCTTCCACTAGCACCGTCATCAAGAACTCTTCATCTCCTAATTTCTTGTACGAATTTTCAATGTTTCTTAGCGCGTTTTTCGACCGCGAGAAAAATGTCGTCGTCTACGCGAAAAAAATCCAGTTAACGACTACGAGGTCCGCGGCACCGAGCAGAGTTGGAGGAAAAGCGCGCTTCACTCGCGGGTCGGCCAGCCAACGGAGCCGCAATGCCTACCGAAGCTACGAAAACCCTAATCGAAATCAAAAGGATGGCATTACAATGCGCGGAACCAGAGAAAGGAGGACAGACAATGGCTGCCGTTCGCTACAACGACACCCCCCTCAAAAAAAACAGTAAGTGTTATGTTATACTTGCCGAAACAGCACAATGCAGATTAACCCAATATTGTTAGTTCTAGGCTTATGTGATACTTGCGAACGAGACAAATGCAGCATTAAAACCCAATATTGTTTAGTTCTAGGCTTTGTCCAATGTTTAGTTCTAAATTTATACAAACGTTAGCATCTAGTTTAAGTCCAATGTAGTTCTATATGAGGGTCCAATGTTCAGTATCTATAAATATTACGTGTTTAGCTCTATTTTGTTCCCGTTAGGCTTTGGTCTAATATTGTTTCATATGTCTTATGTGACGTACAAATTTCGAAAATTTTTTGCAGGAAAAGAAATTGCTCTAACAGGCCCTCAGCAGAAACACTAAGGTTAACGGCCCAATAATCTTGGGCTTATTGGGCTTTATGAAGCGCCTTGCCGAGATCCGTCATGGCATAGGGAATGCATACTGCGGTTCTAATTTCAGCACTACATTTTGTTTGCCGCGCTCCTGCGGCTGATCGACCCCCTTGAGGGGATGCTGCTTGAGTCTTTTTCGATAGAGATAATAACACCTTTTGTATACCTGCATATCCAAAACAAGTGGCGGGTATGAAAAAATGTAGTTTTGACTTTGCAATGGGGCGTCCACAACCATACTTATGTTCCCAATTTATGGGGAGGACATAAGTTCAACAATAGGGACTCAAGAAGCCCCAGATATGGCTGGAATACTTCGACTAAGCTTTTCATTTTCTGTAAGAGGAGTAAGAAGTTAAAAAACGAACCAGCCCAACGTAAACATCTTGAACGGGCTACTTGACCGGCTATCTCTCTCTCT